CAAAAGAGAAGGAAAAGAAAGAAAATAAAACGATAAAAGAAAGAGAGTACGAAATATATATATATATATATATATATATATATATATATATATATATATATATATATATAAAACAGAACATTTACTTAAATATTTGTATCCATAAAAAGAACGTATAAACATAAAAATGTTTTAAAATCATTGTCGGACTTTGTCCATTTCATAATGTGTGACGTCATTTCTTTACATTTGGATACGCATCGAGCAGATCTGAATGAACGAGGGAAAATCATGGGGAATTGTAGTTTAAATACAGTAAAATCGACCTTTCTAACCGAAACGCTCCTCTATGGCTCAATCGGTAAAAGCACGTCATGCTATATGGCGGTTCCGTATCGGATAGGGGTTCGATTCCTGTCGGAGGACGAATATTTTCTATGAAAATTTCTCGGACATTCAGCTCGGTAAATGTCGTTAATACTGTTTATTATAAAACAGAGCATTTACTTAAATATTTGTATCTATAAAAAGAACGTATAAACATAAGAATGTCTTAAAATAACTGTCGGACTTTGTCCATGTCATAATATATATATATATATATATATATGTCCGGAGAGGTTCAGCTCCGCAATAATAACACATGAGCATTGTCGTTCGGAGTTTCCGTGGCAAGTCTCTTGCACCGCTATCTTTTTTATCGACAGATCCAAAAAGTGTGGATGGTCGGACACAAGCCTTCACAACTTGAAACAAATCATTGTGTTGGCTTTCTGACAACTACATCCAAATAGTTGCACACTTTAGTTTCATTCATAGTGTTTTGACCAGGTAATGGTTAAGAAATAATAAAAACAAGAGGTTGCAGATAAATAGTGTATTGAACAGTAAATACAACAGAAGTGAGTTACACGACTTGGGAGTGTGTGTCGGTTGACCAGCGTTCAGTCTATAATACCTTCCCCCCCACTGAGGTTTATTTTCCTACTATTTTATAGTAAGTGGAAGAGTCCACAATAGCCTCATTACAGGAAGCACACCGCAACACACACATATCCGGCTACTGCAAAAAAAATCTACGAAACAACATCAACTTCATCTTGGCACTTGAAATGTACGAACTCTCCAGAACAACAACTAAGCACCAAAAAGAAAACAGCTCTGGTCGCATTGGAGCTAATCTATATATATATATATATATATATATATATATATATATATATATATATATATATCATAATCGAACAAATGCTTTACCTCATATGGGGAATAGGCTATTTCGGCAGACGACGAAAGTCTTTTCAACCCCAGTGTGGGATGTGTCGTCGTCTGCCGAAATAGCTTATTCTCCATATGAGGTAAAGTATTTATTAGATTATGAATTATATTGCTCTCTATACATCGAACGCTTTTTTGTGGACCAGTTCTAATACTTTTATATTACTAAGATCCACTTGAATTATATACCAAGATATTTGTTACCTTACTACATACATACATATATATATATATATATATATATATATATATATATATATATGAGTAGGTAGGCTTTCCTACCGGCCGGTCAGTATTGCTCCTCTTTCTCTTGGAGAAGAGTAGAGGCTCACACCTTGTTTCTTGTTTACGAAGCGGTTCCCGCAAACACACACACACACACACACACACACACACTCTCTCTCTCTCTTTCTCTCTCTCTCTCTCTCTCTCTCTCTCTCTCTGTTGGTTCCATATTAGTGCTTGGCGATTTTAACGTCCATCATAGCAAGTGGCTTAAGAATGCTACTACTGCCCTTGCAGGCATTCAAAAATTTAATTTGTCAGTTTCTCAATCTCTCACGCAGATAGTTGACTTCCCCATGCGTTTTGCCGACAACCGGGACGGTAAGGCCTCTCTTCTCGATCTATGTTTTACCTCCACCCCGAGTCTTGTAGCGCCACACAGCTCTGCCCTCTTGGTAATTCCGATCATGTTGTAGTGTCAGTCAACATCTTCTTCAACTCCACCCCTGCAAAGAACCTCCTACCACTAGAACCTCGTTCTACTATCAACGCGCTGACTGGGACTCGTTCCGTGATTTCCTCCGCAATGCCCCCTGAGATCTTGTCTTTACGCTCCCAGTTCAAGAATGTGCTTCTGAGGTCTCCTCCCGGGTTAAAGCTTGAATCGACGTTTTCATCCCCTCAAGGAAATATGTGGTCAAATCGCGCTCCTCCCCTTAGTTCTCCGCTGCTTGCTCAGCCGCCATTGCCCATAGGAACCACTTCGTTCACCTATATCGTAGCGACATGTCCGACTGCAACAGACGTCTTTTACGTAACGAGTGTAAGCATCTCCGCAACGAAGCTAAGTCACTATTTGCTGCTCGAATGAAAGAACGTATTGTATCTCGCAAATTCGGCTCCAAGGATTGTTGGCGTATTTAACAATATCAAACCCTCCATACCTCCTTTGTTCAACCAGTTTTCAGGTCCTGATCTCCTCTGCCCACAAGGCTGAATGCTTTACTCGTAAATTTTCATTCAATTCAAAGCTCGACTCTTCCGGTGTACCCGTACCCGATTTCACTCTTAGAACTGAGGCCCTATTGAGCGGGTTGCACATAACCCCGTCATTGGTATTGGGCATTATCTCTAATTTAGACCCCCACAAGGCTAGTGGTGGAGATGGGATACCAGCAATTGTCTTGAAGAAATGTGGGCCTGAACTGGCGCCCGCCATCTTCAAATTATATAACTAATGCCTCAAGGAATCTCGTTTTCCAGAATGCTGGGAGTCCTCATCGATTGTCTCTATCTTTAAGAACTCTGGCGACCCCTCTGACCCTTCTAATTACCGTCCTATCAGTCTCCTACCCCTCTTCGACGAAGTCTTCGAAGCTTTAATCAACGCTGAAGTTACATCCCATGATCTGCTCTCCGACAAGCAATATGGTTTCCGCTTTGCCCGTTCTACAGCTGATGTGCTTACGGCCATCGCTGAAATTGTTTACCAAGCTCTTCATAATAACGGAGACGCTCGTACTTGACATCTCCAAAGCGTTAAGATAGGGTTTGGCATGTCGGCCTTCTTCGCAAGCCTCAGGGTTATGGAATTACAGGTCGATTGTTTGACTTAATACAATAATTCCTGTCAAACCGTGAGTTGAAGGTCGTTCTCAACGGATTCTCCTCCAGCTCCTATCCCACGAACGCAGGTGTTCCTCAAGGCTCCATCTTAGGCCCTACTCTGTTCCTTATCTTCATCAACGATCTTCCTGACGTCATAGATTCCCAAGTAGGCATCTACGCGGACGACACTACAATTTACTCCTGCCTCAAAAACAAATCTAGTGTCGGCGACAAAACTAACCTGGCCGTTCGTCTCGAAAAGGACGTCCATTCGGTTGTGAACTGGGGCAGGAATTGGCTGGTTAACTTTAACGCCTCCAAAACAAAACTGCTCTCTATTAATCACCACAGAGATCCTTCCCTGCCCCCCCCCCCATTAGAATGTCAAGACGCTCAACTTCTCGAGAGTTCCTCTTTGCGACTGCTCGGCCTCACATTGACTGCTGACCTGAGATGGAACAAATACATTGATTCAATTGCTTCGTCCACCGCAAGGAAAGTTGGCTCCGTGTGTCGCGCCAGGAGATTTTTCTTCCCGGAATCGATCCTTCAAATATACAAATCAACCATTCGCCCTTGCATGGAGTATTGCTGCCATATATGGTCTGGAGCCCCTTCTGTTTGCCTCGGGGTTCTTGAAAATATCCAGAGACAGATATGCAATGTAAATGGCCATGATCTGGCATCTCGTCTGCAGTCGCTCTCTCACAGACGCGCCCTCGACTCTCTCTGTCTTTTTCATGGTAATTGCTCCGATGGGCTGCTTTCGCTGGTTCCCAGTCTTCATGATTTCAAGCGTCCTACGAGGCATCCCGCTCTCACACTTTCACCGTTGAAACTGTTAAATGTAGCCGTCTCTTCTACTCGAATATCTCGCACCTCTCGCCTGTGGAACTCCCTCCCTTTTTTCCTGTTTCCCTGTTTTCAAATGTAATGTCAATCGATATCTCCAGTTGCCTTGATCTATCCACTATTCATCTCCTCGTCCTTTCCTCTTTCACTCCTACCTGCTCTCGCTCCAAATCCTCTGTAACCTCTTGCTTGCTAGTGGCTTCTCGCCTTGCTTGGGTGAAATGCTTAATATATATATATATATATATATATATATATATATATATAATAACTTTTTATTTAAACGTTATTTTCAATAGACTTTCACATTTGAGTAAATACTTAAATGCCCTTGAAAAATTAGGCACAGGGAACGATTTTCGATGAACTCAGATTCATGGTTGACACATTGTGTGAGGTTAAAAATATATATTAATATATTATACTAGCCTTTATCGTTGCTTTCATGCTTCAAGGGGAGTAACTCTTATTTTCCTTTTGTATCCAAAATTGCAGCTAGCTTAAAATTTAAAACTTTAAAAAAAGCTGAATTGTTTTTTTCGTTTTTTTTTTTTTTGTTGTTGTTGTTTTTTCTTTGTAAGCGTTTCACCTCAAGAAAGGCGGGAAGCCACTAGCACGCAAGGAGTTACAAAGACTTGGAGCTAGAGCAGCTAGGAGTGATAGAGGAAAGGATGAAGAGAAGGATAGGGGATAGATCAGGGCGTCTGGAGACGTCGATTGACGTTACATTTGAATAGTTGGAGATTATAGCTATCAGGAAAACAAGAAATGGGGAGGGAGTTCCACAGGCGAGAAGTGCGAGACATGAAGCTATTGGAGTAGAAGAGACGGGTACATTTAACAGTTTCGACAGTAAAAGGGTGAGAGCGGGATGTCAGCCTAGTAGAACGCTTAAATTCATGAAGTCTGGGAACTGAAGAAAGCAGCTCATCGGAGCAGTTACCGTGGAAAGTATTTGTAAAAAGACAGAGGGAGGCGACGGCACGTCTGTGAGAGAGCGACTGTAGACGAGATGCCAGATCAGGGCCTATTACATTGCATATCCGCCTTTGGATTTT